TATACATACAAATAACGACTAATATTCATATAAAATACAGTTATTTTTAACATTTGTGAGTTATGTTGATACTAGATTCGAAGTTACGGTCTAAATCGAAATAAAAAACTACTAAACCACGACGGGTTTAATAAGTATTTTAAAATATGCCACCACAATGGATTATGTCGAGGTGCACTTGTTCAGGATGCTGTCTCTTTAGGAGACCCTCGACTTAATCCGACCACTCTAGTGCGTCTGTCTGTATTACAATTGTACGTGCGACAAACTAATGTTTCTTTAATTTCAACAATTATTCAGTGCTAAGTGTATCATTGATGGATAATACATATTATTGATAAAAAAATAAGAAGACAGTTAGCGGTTTACTATTTTACTGGACTAGGTCTTACCCATGACTTTGTCCGCGTAGAATATAAGTGGAGTAAGTTACTATTTATAACATTAGCTATAGATGTTATAAAATCTCAACAAAATCGTTTCTAGCCATTTCGGAGTTAATAATAAAATAATTTTGTACTAACGAATAAAAGTAATAACCCTGGATTTACACGGCGGCATTGTGTTATGGGTATTAAAAAACTGATAGAAATAACATATTATATAGATCAAGGAAAGAATCATGCTCACGTATATAAATGTACGCATCGTTACATCATACGCAAGAATATAACCCACGATCGGAAGTAAAACGGTTGCTAAAGCTGGTTGCTAGAGTACCGAGGCCGATTTAATTAATAAATAGAATAAAACATTGCACTATAATTTAGCGTGCAACGTTTACACAGCAGAATGCTGAAGTTATGAAGAGCCGAAAACAGTAAGTGTCTCTACTCGCGTCTTGCACGCCTTGCATCGCATATTGCGGATTTCTACACTTACATTGAAATTATTGTCTAGTCGTAGCTAAGTTAAGGGTTCTGCATATTTTAATATAAAATATAATACAAATATTATTATAATTACAAAAAAATAATATTACTTTTATAGTTATTCTTGACTACATACTTTGTCAGAGAGTGATAGCCTAATAATTAAAAATAAACAGTAGGGATACTAATATAGGAAATGTACGACCTCGGTTGTCTAGTGGTTTACACACCGTCTTACTTCCGATGGTCGCAGGTTCGATTCCTCGCACGGCACAAACATTTGTATTCCTGAGTATAATGCTTGTATCGGTCTGGGTATTTTCTATGTATAATATGAATGTATTTACGAAAAAAATATATCTATGTATTTGTATCAGTTATGTAGTACTCATAACACAAGCTTTAGCTACCTTAACTTGGATCTAAATGGCGCTGTGTAAATTGTCCTGAGATTATTATTATAACTTGCATAAATGGCAGAAATTATTTCTAGCAAATACTATTTGAAACATATGTAAATGATTTTGATTGTTTTTGACTTTGCTTTTTGTGACCGATTACGAGAAAAAAACGACACTGCGTTTTCCATTCGCATTCATTAGTGAAGACTTGTTTAACTGAGTATTTTTTTTTATTCCGTGTGTGTACACGGAACTCTAATCTCACCGCTGCCTACTGACAAGTATTTTGTTCCTTTTTCCCGGTATTATGTCCGTGTTTACAGCTGGAATGTCAGATGAATGTTTTTACAGAACAATACCCGTTAGTTTTTTTTAATTTTCAACTGCCAATTTATTAGTGCGGATTTTCTGTTTGTACTTTTTGCGGTATCTTCGCTAAAACGAACTTCAATAAAATCTCATTTAAATTTCCTTTATTATTTAATCGCGATTGGGTTACAAGTAATAAATATCATTACCTTTTTTTTCACATTTTTAATAATTATTATAAATTAAGTATTCCTATAGACCCAGAACATGCAAAAATATAATAATATAACTAGTTCTATATATATATATATATATACTTAATGGGAATATAAGCAAATACAGTTAATATAGCAAGAAGATTTTTAAAAAGGAACTTAACAATGTCCTGCCTAATGTACAGGATAAAAATATTTCTATTACTTAATAATAATTAATAATTCAAAAATTTATTCAGCAATGTATACATCTACAATTACATTGAATCTTATGGCGTCTTCTGCACGTCATATCTTTGATCAGTAACCCTAACGTCCAGTTTGGGTAGCTACATGAGTAGAGTTTGGCTACATACTATTATTTTTTAGTCAGTCTCAATTTAAAATTTCAGTAGTATATATGTAATGTATATATAAACAACGATTTTTATATTAGAATATAGAAACTTTTGTTTAAACAAACAACGCCATGCAACAATTTATAAAACTACGCCGCCAAAGCCAACGATTAAATATTTCTTTTTTAAAATCATTTAAGATAACATTAACACCTTATTTATAGTATTTACGTAGAGAAATAAAAAACAGTGCATTTTATCATAGTTCTAATATTACAGAAAAAATTTTTTAATAAATATTTTGATTGTAATTCTGATAACTAATGTAGCTACATCGCAATTTCCAGTTCAAGGAAATGTAATACAACATTTTCAGACTGTATGCAACTATGAATTACTGTTTAAAGAAGAATATAACCATTTGCCATATCTTCTACTACAGCATAATCCTCTCAAGATGAATATGGCATAACAAAAGCTCGTATTATAGCCTTATAAGGTATTTCTTTGCGATGTCCTGAAATAAAAATATAAAAAAAAACATTAAATCCAGACCAGTGCATATCAGAAGCGAGAATTTTATATAGAGTAATTACAACTGCCAAACGTATATACTTGAGAAATATTGGGCTATCAAATAAATTCGAATATCAATACGGCTCGTCAATTATGATCACTCGATATCTTACTTGAGTTTGCTCATTTCAAGTTCCAAGAAAAATAAATCCATTAGTATTAAAGTAAATATACAATTCCATTTTCAATATTCCCATTTTCAATAATAAATGTTTTATGTTGGTAAATTTTATGTGCTTTATCGATTTCGTTCGCTTTGTCTGCCTCTACCTACTACTACCTCTGTTATTTTAAGTGTTTACAAAATGAATGCAATTATTATTTTTTCAATTTTATTTATATAACTGAAATTTCAAATAAAGCTAATAGCCTACCTGGTGGTAAGTGGCAACTGCCGTATATATACATAATGAAAACCGAGGACATTACTTCATAAAGTTACTTCAACTATGATAAATATAATAACACTTCCCGGCCATGTTATTATCCAAAAAAGAGGTACCTACTACATTTTTAATAACAATAATAATAACCCTGGACAACTCACACCGCATAATCTAATCTCAAGCTAAGCCGAACTTGGTACTAGACAAGTGACGTACATACTTAGATGTTTTTTTATAAATACATACATCATATAGAATTGAAAGCACCAAGACCGATAAAAATAATCATTCATTTCATTTTGTAAAAATTTAGGGGCTCGGTGGTCTAACGGTTCAGCACATCGATTTACTTCAGATGGTCGCGGTTTCGATTCCTCACACGGTACAGTCATTTGGATTGATGAGTACGACTGTTTGTAACGGTCTGGATGTTTTTAATGTAATTTGTGTAGGTGTTTAAAAAAATATATCTATGTATATTTATATTAGTTGTCTGGTACCCATATTGATGCGCTGTGTGAATTGTCCTGAGATATTATTACTTACTCACTCATTTCGTAATATCATCTCGATATAATTTCTCGAATTTACAATATCGGGTGCCAACGCACAAGCGGCGACATATTTCTTGTTTGTAATAACGTTCCGGCGACGCTATATGTATAATCTGACTACGGCCTGATATATTAACTTGTAAGGAACTTGCTGTTTTATTATTGAAATAATAGAGTACTGACTCTACAGCAAAAGACAGACTTTGTGATCAAGCGGTTTAGCACACAGGATTACCGGTACTCGGCGGTTCGATTCTACATATTGTATATAGTTGTATCACGGATGTCATATCATATCCGTAGTGCTTGTTCACATATAATATACGACGGTTGTCTATGCGTTTGTCGCTCAAATCTTAGAAATAGCTTAACCGATGTAGATGCGGTTTCATTATATTATTGTGATTAGTGTTACTTAAAATTTAGTGTATGTATTATCATAATCAGTTTCACAAAACATTATGCGTGTACGATATCTAATAAAATAAATGTCCCTAGTAAAAGATGGAGAAAAATACCAAAACTAATTTAGAAATCGGAACGGGCAAGACTGTAACTTTATATGCATGGACCAAATCTGTACTAGTCCTATTTCATTACTTAATGCGACCATTTGTGTTAATAGAATGTGGTCGTAAATATCCTCTTTTACTATGAATAAATCTTGATTGAATAATCCTTATTTATCGTCCGCACTGTACGCATTCGGAATTGTTATGCTTATTTTTGCTAGCTAAACAGTTTGTAATACAAACAATATTTATTTATTATATACAGCATTGACCCTGATTATACTTTCATTTCAATTATATTTTTCTCTGGATATTGAGGTTAATAGTATTATGTTATCTGTGGCCAGAGACAAATCTGGCAGATCTGTAGCGTTCACCTCAACATCGACGTATAATAATATGATAATAAAAATCTAGTCCATGTCAATAATAATAATATCCTTGGACAATTCGAAGGATAATATTATTGACGTGGAGTATGAATTGTCATATAACGCCACCTAGTCACAAGGTAAGCAGAGTTTTTTGATACTTGGATATATATTTTTTGGAAATGTATAATACCTCTGATTACCCCATTTTGGGATAACAGTCATGACGGTATGTAGATATATAAGTCAAATACTGTAACTTTACAACCTCATTATTTATAACAGGTATTCAATAAACACATTGTTATATTTATTCGCTTTATTGTGGACATTTTGTGATATGTGTTAAAAAAATGTGACCAAAATGATGGGACAGAGAATAAGTCAAGAACCAGACAAGAAATAAATTTCTACAAAGTGAATTTCGTTCTACATCATTGGTTCATTATTCACATGTTCATTTATTTCAGTCCTCTATCACTGACATCACTAAAGTAAAAAATGACATTCCAGTTTTAATGAACTGTAACAAAAAATTTAGTTATTAATAGAATAGAAAGAATAGAAAATCATTTATTCATATAAAATTAAATTAAGCACTTTTGAACAGTCATAGTTATCATTCTTTCATCTACCCCTCATTCGGAATGCTGTCTCATCACAAAAAGAATGAGTAAAAAACTTGCGTGTTGCTCTTTTAAATAGTCATTATAACTTTACATTTAAATTCGAAACGTGCGAATGCAAACCACCAACTTGCACTAATTAATTAAGGTCAGATATTAAATACACAATAGGATTAAAACAATCGTAGTGATTAGAGCAGACTAGTCCCCTCGATTACGAGTATGACGTATGAGCCATGATCACTGGGCTCAAAAATATGGTATTTTAGGAAACCCGATGATGATAATGATTATTGTAATTAAACTTAACATTAATACATATTCGTTTTTTATTTGGTTCGAATAATTCCACATGAATATGACTCCCGACTATCAAGTAATATTTCTATTCAGCAACCAGCGTATATATATTATTCTCTGCACCTCCTATGGTTGGCTGATAGAAAATGCCGCATGGTGTTAAGCATTCAATTTAAATAAGTAAAAATATTACACTAAAAAACCCTTTCCCAAATTGGAGAGACTAAGAATCAACATGAACCTAATTAGTGCAAAGTCTGACAATTATTCTGAAAAGAACCTTCCAATGTACGATGATATTGAGGACATATGAGATTGTTAGTAATGTCCCCATTTCTAGTAGTGTACCACGTCAGATTGACCTCCACGCGGTTTTTCCTGTAAACCATCGTTATAAATTCCTTTTGAATTTGTCACGATGGGCTAACTGACCTGACATCATGCTCATGTTATCAACCTCAACCGGTACCTAAAACAGCGAAAATGGCTAGCTAAGGCGGGTGCACGCCATTTATTCTATTATCAACCATTAAAATATGAAAATAATCTTGTAACGTTAGCAAATGCTTCATTGAAAGCTATGAATTAACTACCAAATGGATTCCTTGCATGCTGTTGTCCGATTTGACCGGCGAAATATTACTGTAATGAAATAATTGGGAATAAGAGATTAATATCATAGTTCTTATAAATAGCAAGGCATGAGGAAATAAAAGCAAAAATTGATAATGATTCCCATACAAGTGATTACTTTCCATCAAATATTATAATTCGTCTTTCTTCAGTTCTAAGCCTTACGCAAGCAACTTTGTATAAAGTCTACTTTGGTAGGTATATTTTATTTCTTACCCATGTGAAAGTAGGCAATGATAATGTTACAGTTCCAAATATATATATAGGCATCCTTTGACTGAGTGCATTATTGAATATCTGCATGTTCAGTTTGTATTGCCTGTCGAATATATACCACTTTTCCGTGACAGATATTTCTAAATTTTCACACTGAAATTAATATAAATTAATAAATTAGTATATTTTAATTAGGTATGAGTAGTTGGTATCTGGTCTATAGGTGCGGCATATTTTTGTATTCGTTTAATGTACGAATTTTATTTCTAGATATATGATAAATAGTATATGGTTACTTATTATAACTTAATTGTAATATGTATTAAATTTCATTAATATAATTTATATTTCTTTTCTCATTAAATAAAAATAAAAACAACTGTTTTTAAAATACTTTAAATCTCATTATTAGTATATAGTTAACCCAGTTTTAACGCGAATAATCTTATGGGAATTAAAAGTATTTACATTTCTCTCCTATAAATGTCTTTTATTCAATTTTTTTCTAGTATACAAAAAAATCTACTAAGCATATACGCAGGTATAAAGAAAATTATAATACTGTGTTCAGGACATGTAAAATATAGACTTTTAAACCCATTGTCTAACTCAAAAACAGATCTTGATCAAAGAAAAGTATCAGCTTTTAAATAAAAAACCATTTATCCAAATAGTTTAACATAAAAAAAGTAATGTAGAAACATACCCAAAAAGCAGTAGAACTGAGAATCCCGTCCTTTTTAAAATGTCAGACTAAATATTTTTCAAGTATATAAGAAAACAACCGAAGTGAGAACCTCGTCCTTATTAAAGTGTCTGCATAAATCTCTTTCAAATAAACAAAAGAATACTCCAATAAAAGCATATACCTTTTGTATGCTTTTATTGTATGCTATAGTTGTATAAAAAACTTACTTGATTCTCCACTTGCTGTCCCAATAAGCAAAACATAAGCACCACTAGAATAAAGCTCATTGCGTGGGTGTAATACTTCATTGTGTCCAGCGATAGCTTATCCTGAAACGTCCGTGTCATGTTAATGTATAGTTCAAATAAATACCTGACCATATTACTAGAGCATTACAATGCTTTTAAAACTTGAAGTTTTCAGTCCTTTCTTCTATAATACTGAAATAATGCTGAATAAACGTCATATTGCCATACAAATTTTTTCTCAATATTACTTAAGGACAAATAACGGTTTTAAAAATAGCGGTGAAAACTCAGGGCTGTGTGTAATTTATATGCATAAATATAAAATTTATCAAAAAAAATTGTGGTGGCGAAATTTTAGGTTTGAACCCTAAACATTTGGGGCTATGAAAAGTAGGTACGTCCTACTGAACATATATACAAAATTTCATAAGAATCGGTCAAGACTGATTCGGAGGGGTTTTGTTACAAATACACATATCTAACACGAGAATTTTATATATTAGGTAATAGAAATTACAGGATAAGACGCATGCCATCTTATTGTTAGTTTTAGGAGGCGGACGTAAGTTATTTAATACAAAAAAGCAAACGAAAACGCGATAACAACAAATTATATATAGTATCTTCAACCTCGCTTGTGTGAAATTCATATCATGTTTACTTCGTTAACAATATTGCTTTCAGCAAAAAAATCATTTAAATAATATATACCTATATCGAAGTACATAATATGTGTAACATTAATAATCACCTATATAACATTATATTATATATTACAATAAATACCCAAACCATTTTCAAGTAGTCTCATTATCGACGACCGTGCTTACTACATTTTTATTCCGGTTGATATTTTACAAACATTAGCGGCCCAATCCGGTTTTACAGTTGTGCAAATGTATATATCTTTATTTTTTTTTAACTTAAGATTTGCACAGGTGTGAAAATTTATAAAATTATTCAGTAGGTTAACAAAACTTGTCAATTACGAACAAAATATTGTAATATTTTTATTTTATACACTATATTATCTGATTTACATTGTTATATACATTAGTAATAATTTTTGCATGACAATTACAATTTTTTTGGGACATAAAAACATTCAAATATAAAACTCAAGCAAATAAAATTTTTCTTTTAAAATCTTCTCCCTTTTGTACTATCAACTGAAATCTCAATGCGTCATTATAATCTACCAATCCTTTTCCAGTAGCCATTGACTTTCCCGAGAACGCTACTTAGTTTCAATTTCAAAAATTACATTTAGAAATATAGTTTTTATCCCTATGATTATAAATTATTAGTATTGTTATTATGTTCTCTATTTGCATTACCTTTCATATTACATTAGCGTAGTAGTAGCAGTAGTAGTAAATTTATGTTAGAATAAAAAAAATTATGTCAGTAAGTTGCCGTTGTTGATTGATACTAATAAACAATGGTAATTCTTACACTAGACGATATCCGGATAAGGATGACATCTGTCAATTAGGACATCGTGGCAAAATCAACAGGAATTACTGATAATGGCTTCTAGAGTGACCGCGTAGATATAAATTTATACTAGTACATTGCTAGCAATAGGACCATTATTTCCGATTATAATTTTCCTTTGATCGGGTACGCTATAATTATATTTCTTCGTCTCTTACTTACCGATACAGCGATTTTTACTGAGCACATGCAAACAAGCACAATAGACACCAATATAAGGGTCAAGTAGAACGGTCGACATATTATATTCAGTCTATTACTAAATCTGCGAAAAAAAAAATGAAATTTTTAAACAGCCTTATTTAATTTTTATTTTATTTTTGCTTAAATAAAAATATATTGATTAATATAAAAAGCAATAAAAATACATAATTAAATTGTTCCGATATACTATGTAATACTATTTTATCTATGGTTGTATTTGTACATATATATAATACTAGCTGTGCCCGCATGATATTTTTAGCCTATGTATTATTCTGATATCTAAGAAATATTATTGTAAAGTTTGATCAATATCCGTTCAATATTTTTTGCGTGAAAGAGTAACAAAGTTTCGCATTTATAATATTACTAGCTTTTCCCGCAACTTCGTCTACGTGGGTGATAGAATGTAATTGATAAGTATTAATAATTAATCAAATAATTGATTTACATTTTAAATAATAATTCATGAAACGACTACTTTAAATATTTAAATTAAATGCATATTATGTATTGAATAATAATATAAAGAAAAAAACTGGAATAATTCATTAAATTATAACCATGTTTGCCTTTCCAAAATGTAGTCTGCGTTCTCTGTCTACCTATATCAGCCAAGCAGTTTGCTTTGTATGATGTATTTGGCTTGAAGAGTGCTATCATGTTTTACTGTTACCACTTGCAACCAGGTCGTCTGTCAGATTATTTGTCATTCTAATTACATAAAAGACTTACTCTAATCGCACTGTTAATTATAAATAAAGAACTAATGTTCAGATCTTAACCAAATTTATACGGATCTACGAAAAAGCACCGGCTTTCAAACAAAAAAGAATTATCAAAATTTGTTCACGTTAAACATATAAGAAATACAGTAGAATTGAGAACCCCTACTTATTTCAATTTGGTTGAAATATACTGTTAGAATAGTCGTTATTCGTCTACAGTGCATACTCAACATAAATTAGAGTTAGTTGTTGAAAGATATGAAAACTTTAAACTATATTAATAAATCTAACTATATATAGTTAACTATAACTAATATATAGATCACCTCTTGAGTTTCACGTAATGGTCCACGCACTGTACCAGTACTGCTGTGCAGCATGGTTGCCACTGTTCATTCTTCTGCTTCAAATACTCCGTAACCAATTCGTCAAGATTCAGAATAATGAATGTCAGTACTTTCAAATGACGTATCTTTTGACCAACGAGCAATATAATCATTGATTGTAGACCGGGGTACGCTGAAAATAATATGGAGTTTAAGATTCGAGCAACAACTGAAGTAGACTTTGTAAAAAGTAATCTACTCTACTCTACCTCTATATTGCCTATTTAGCCGCCAAACAACTTTGTAAGATATGTTATGATTTAAGAGTGAGATATGGCACGGCACGCCATATATTAAGCCTTTCAGAATAGCAACACAGTGTAAGGGAAACAGTGATATCATATGACAATTTGTTTTCATTCAAGTTCCATAAAAAATACTTTTTCAGCATACATTTAAGTAATTGGAACTTAATTTTCAAGGTATGAGAAATGTCTAAGGTATAGTATATAAGAGTATTTAAAAGTACCTACCGACGCCACACAAGTACCCGGCATAAACGTGGTAAATAAAAGTAGCTATGTAGACGTATAAATTATCTAATTCCCAAGGAAACCACATGTCGAAACCTGAAACAAAATTAATATAAGTCATAACTATAACATTTATTGCTAAGAAATCAGAAAGAGAGATTTACACAGCAGAAAGAGAGATAGAGACTGCCTGATTTTTTTTTATTTCATATCTAATAAATAAAATCTTCTATCATCGTTTTTATGACCTCCTCCGAACTGTTTATTGAACTCCTGCGAAACGGCTTATTTGATATTTATGAAATTTTTGTTTAATATTTCGTAGACCCAGAAATAGGGTAAAGTTTTATATCCCTAGGTAATAACGGTGGCCCTATCCAGAAATTATATGGTAAAACAACTAATTTATTTATTCAAAAAAATGTACTCAATTAACAGAAAATCTAACGAGTTCCTGTTACTTTATAATAAATCCAATAAAATAGGATTATAGGCTAATAAAAGAATTCTCAGAAATATTAATTCGAGCAATAAAGGAACGTGCTCTAATATACTTAATTCCTAAAATCTTACTATAGATATAAACCTATTACGTTCAATAATTATATTAAGTATGTAGGTAAAATCAAAGATTTTTGTGTAATTGCCTTTTACTATTATTAACTTACTACCTAGACTTCTATCCTAATTTATTAATTCACCAAAAACTTCAGGCCAATTCTATTTTCCCCCACACAATACAATACACTAGTAATCTCATTTAAACAACATAAATGCGAAACGGTAAAGTTTGCTACTGAAAATCAACTCTAATAATGATAAAAAAGAAATATGTACTTACCCAAAAGTCGTAAAGACTTGTCATTCCTAATAATCATTTCATAAATTGGACTGCAAAGATACAGCGTTGCCACAAAGTTTACACAAAATACGTAACATTTTAGTAAAATTCGTGTATATTTGAACAATTTCTCTTGTGTATTATTCACTAAATGCTTTAATTCATTAGACTTTACCCCTCCTTCTGCAGAAAGGACATATTTGACCAATGGCATATCTAATAAAGGGTCCACGAAGATCATTTCTTCTAGAAATTTCCGGAAGTTTCTTCTGAAAGCTAGACATACTGCCAGGGTTATGGACATTATTACCCCCGTCGCCCAAATACAAGCCCCATTAATGAATACCAAGAGATCTGCAGTACTTGTGACTACGAATCCAGTGGTAAAAATGAAGCAGAAAAAACCAACAATGAAATTGAATATTTGAAATATTAGCCATGGTTTTGTATCCCAATTCGATTTAGCGAATATTGATATACCACCAATAGACAGAAGACGGTGGAATATTCGTAGCGTTTGTTCCATGTTAAGGATACTATATGAATGATCTGTAAAACTTAAGCTATGACTTTTAAGTTGGATTTAAAAGTACAGTTATATACCGTTTACGATAATTTGATTCTAATTATTTTATTATTGTGAGTGTTAAAATATAGTGTTCCTGTCAATCAGCACTATAACTTAAATATGTATTTATTTTAATAGTAATGCGTATCATGTTTTATATAACAACAAAATACACCGACTACAAATCCGAATAAAATTGCTACCAATCCTATCATTTGCAAATAGATCCCTCACAATTCATTCCATTTATTTACAGAGTTACTGCATTATATACAAATAAAACTCCGTCGAATTAATGAAATAAATTATCAATTATCATTGGAATACCTCTTCTATTGGTAATGGTGGTTAAACACTTTATTTAAATGTTTTCAATATCTATTAAATGTTTTTTATTAATATCTACTAATTCGTTCTAATTATTACAGATATTTACAATTTTATGTATTCAGTACAGAACACAACATTTACAGTTATGAGTATCATAAATTAATCTGTAGTTTTTTATGTTACTACTCACACATTTGTTTTATTATGTTACATAGTAACATTAGAAAAATGTTCATTTTCAAATCCGTTTGTATAATATGTAATAATTGCATTTACTTTTGATAATTAGCATAAATAAATGAATTCACAATACCATTTCAACTCTGAAACATATAATATTTTGCAAGGTAATAAAATGAGATTTTTATTTATTAAACCGAATTTAGTATATAACAAATTGTATCTTAGTGTACCTGTCATAACTAATATTAAGGATGATGTTTTAAAAAAAATACAAAATGATACACCGATGAGAATTCGTCACATGTTTTCTGACATAAATACTGATATTTGGGCGACACCCTTTGATATTATGATTTTAAATAAAGAAGTGATTCTCTTTAATGACTTCTTAACAGTTCCTAAGTGTAAAAGTGACTATTTTCAACCGACTGTCAAAATAAAGACATTTAATTTCACAGTATGTACTTTTCTGTGTATATTTTGCGAATACTAAACGGATTTTAAAGTTTTTCCAACTTAGGTCTGTACGAACCGTGCCTAGTGCTTAATATTTCTACTTACCCTATCGTTTTATGGATAAATATGGAATGGAGAACTTGCCTGTGCGAATGGTCTACGCTGGCGGAGCACCAATGGAGAATGATAGTAATAGCAAGAAGTCAGTCAAAGAATTCATCCCTCATGGATTCTTGGTGAATTGAATTAACCATGAATTTCACATCATCAGCGTAAAGCTTTAACGCAGAAGACTGCTATATTCCATTATCCTCAAAAAATATATATTTTCAGGTGGTCGTCCTATCATGGTACATGGCTATTAGTAGGTTCACTTGTTCCCATTACGAATATAAATCGATCATGGCTTATAGGAATCAGTTGCCAATTACCCTCTGTTTGGTAATAACGTTTTTTCCCAATCCAAATACATAGTAAAAACGAATGATGTTGTCTATAATGTTACCTACTTGTGAAAATAGCTAAGAAAAGCTTAATCCTGCGGATAAACAACCAATCTTAACATTCTCTCTGCCGATAAATTTAACACGCTATATTTTTATCAGGCACATTAATATGTAAATAATTTAACAGGCAAAAAAAATATTATCCGAGAAGAACATAATTATAGCCCGAGGGCGGACTTACTGACTGAGAATCGGAATTAATTAATAAAATCCTTATAATACAAAAATGCCTTTATCTTTTCCATCGTAAAAGAAAACCTATTATGAGAAATGTCTAGTCGTACAAAATTTTAATGAGAAATTACATTGTTATATAAAGACGTATAAATATCTCATATTGTTTGTTAAGATTTCACAATAAATTTCAATATCATTATTATTACACAGTATAAAACAAAGTCGCTGTCGCTGTCTGTCCCTATGTCTGCTTAAATCTTTAAAACTACGCAATGAATTTTGAAACGGTTTTTTTTTATAGATAGAGTGATTCTAGTGGAAGGTTTGTATATATAATACATGTACACCCGGGCGAAGCCGGGGCGAGTAGCTAGTAAAATATAAATACCGAGGTATCTCTCGAGGAATAACATAAGCTAAATTATGTAACAATGTTAATATCAATTATCTTATGATTGTAAAAGCTATTGCCTACACGTAACAGCACGATGGACATCGAACATTGTAATATGTGTCTAAGTAGTCTAAGTAAATGCTAAGTGAGATATACTTCATCAAAGTGTAATCTCAGTATTGCTACTTTTTACTAATTAATTTAATAATTAATTTGGTAACTTAAATTAAATCTAAACTAATAAATGACTGCCTCGGTGGTCTAGCACATCGCTCTACTTCGAATGGTCGCTAGTTCGATTCTTTACACAATGCAAACATTTGTATTGAATTTGTATTGAATATCATGAATACATATGTATGAATGACGATTGGATGGGTGACGGCGAATATTTCACTGCTTCTGCTAAAGCCATGTACTCGGCTTCAGTAGTAGAAAGCGCGGTTGTGCACTGCTTGCGTGCTTCCTATGATATTGGGACTCCGCTCATCATGTAGAAGAATCCTGTAAAAGAACGTCTGTCTACAAGATTGTTACCGTAATCCGCATCTACTTAACCTGTAGGGAATGTTTGGCCGTTACGCTTATATTGAAGTTTTAGGTCTTCCGTGCCTTAGAGATATGTAAGAACACATTTAGCGACTTTCCAGTGTGAAAATAGAGAGGTGCTTGGATAGACGTTTATTATAGCAGAGCGCAGTGACAGAAGTGTTATAAAAACAAAATGTATATACAGAACATCATATTTTGGATATGTATAAAAGAATATGTAAAAACCTGTGTCCTAGACCTCATTGTAGGTCTAACAAATAGAATATTATATTAAGGGTTAATCATAAACCACAATAAAATATACTCAAAATTTCGCACCAAGGATCGACTATATCGCATCTCCCTTCTTTCGCCACTCAGTAGAATGAAGTCGGCACATTCGTTAGTCATACACATACACCATAAATCTCGTAGTATTGTGTTATTGTTATTTTTCACCCTCTTCAAGCTTTAATATCCGTTACTAGCTTCATACCGCGTCGATACTCTGTCATTCGAGTGATGTAACTCTGTTATTTGTGTTACAAAATATAAAATACAATATAATATTAGATTATATACATATATATAAATAATCATTTATATATATATATAAGTATTTATGTGTATATATATAGATAAACTCATATAAATTGTATGTAAGATTGATTACCCCATTTTGGGATAACATTCAGGGCGGTATGCTATATATTTACTTACTTACGTTAGTCATATACTGTAACTTATTATTCGTTATAGCACAGATGTTATAGGTATTAAATGAAAACATTGTTATATTTATTCTCTTTATTGTTAACATATTGTAGTAATTGTTAAAAAAAAGTATGACCAAAATGATGGAACAGAGAACAAGAACAAGAACCAGAGAAGAAAATGATAAATATCTAGAAAGCGTTTCGTTTGTCGGCATTGGTTTATTATTCACATGTTCATTTATTTCAGTCCTTTATCACTGACATCACTAAAGTAAAAAATGACATTCCAGTTTTAATGAACTGTAACAAAATATTAAGTTATTAGTGTACCTAATTAAAGTTAAACTGAAGTTTAATACATATGCGTTTCTGGTTTTTTTTTTTATTCCTGTTGAATTAATTTCACAGGAACATGACTCCCGACTGTCAAGTAACGTATCTATTGAGCCACCAAAGTACACAAATTACACTGAATGAAATAACTCTATCCCAAGTTGGTGAGACTGAGAATCGTGGAACCTAATTAGTGCTTAGACCAACTGACAATTGTATCAATGAGCTTCCGACTAGATACCATCCTCATAACTTCCCAGTGAATTTGTCATGGCTTGACCTGATCTCATGGTAATCATATCATCCTCCACTGGACCTCGGTCAGCGTAAACCGATAGCACAGGCGGATGCGACATTCCATTATCATCCATTTAAAAAACTGTAAGACATTGTTAGTAATGTCACCTACTGCTATTGCTAGCAATATACCGTGTCCGGTTGACCTCCACGGAGTTCCTCCTGTAAACCACCCTGATAAATTCCTGAGGAAATTGCCACGATCGGTGAACTGACCTGACATCATGCTCACCTTATCAACCTCAACCAATGCCCCGCCGCGCCAGCTTGAATCGTTAGTGCAGGCGGAGTGTAAAAGTAATACATTTTGTTAAGAAACCCTTAATTAAAAAGAGTAACTAAACTACTAAATTGCTTCCATGCACGCTGTTGTCCGATTTGAATGGTGAAATGAAAAAATGAAATTAAATAATTGCCTATGAAGGATTAATGTCATAATCCTTATGAATAGCAAGGCATGATGACATAAAGGCAAAAATGTATATTTATTCCCATACAAGCGAATTCTTTTCATCAAATAATTCATTTTAATTTAAGCATCTTCAATTCTAAGCCTTACGCAGGCAACTTTCTACGAAGTCTACTTTGGTAGGTATATTTTATTTCTTACCCATGTGAAAGTAGGCAATGATAATGTTACAGTTCCGAATATATATATAGGCATCCTTTGACTGAGTGCATTATTGAATATCTGCATGTTCAGTTTGTATTGCCTGTCGTATATGTACCACTTTTCGGTGACAGATATTTCTAATATTTCGCACTGAAATTAATATATATTACTATATTTATTATTTATCAGTATTTGGTATCCAGTGCACAAATGCCACATATATTTGTATTTGTTTTAAAGATGAACTATATTTTTTTTATAAATATACTGGTAAGTACGATATATGCGTTTACTTACTATAACCACTATAACCTAATTGTATGTATTACATTTAATCAACATAATTTTAATTACTTTTCTATTTAAATAAAAATGAAAACGACTTTATTTTTATAACACTATAAATTTCTTGTAATCATACC